TATGAGCATGTGCTCATCCGCTCATGCAGGATGAGCAGTTATGAGCATGTGCTCATACGCTTATGCAGGATGAGCATACGAGCATGTGCTCATGAGCAGTTATGAGCATGTGCTTATATGCTCATCGCACAAAATGAGCACATGCGTGGACAGTGTAGAAGCCGGACAGCATGTTTAATTGTGTAAAATTGTTTAATAATAATAAATGGCTTATAACGTTAATCTGTGCGGCTTCGCAATCGGATACACATCGCCCCACATCCAAAACGAACACTGCTTTCCCTTCTCGCCACACACGAATAACGGCCGCTCGTAATTCTCCTTCATCAAATCTTTTACCACACACATTTTGGCAAGCTTGTCATGATCACGACACCGCGGATGGGGCTGCTCCGTACACCTCCACGCCGTTATTGCCTTCTCAAACATATAACACTCATTATCAGTACAAATAAAATTGCACGTAGGGTTTTCACCACAAAACCAAAACGTTCCATTACTCGTTGTTGAATACACAGCAGGTTTTCCATGTAAACAATTCATCGTGGCACTACAAAACAAAACAAACACATCACTCCTTTATACCCTTTGCGTACGTACGCGCCTACGTACAACCCCATCACGTCACTTTCATTATGACGTCACTTCCAATCCCATATTCTGCGTACGTACGCACTATCCTGCGTACGTACGCAATATGACGTCACTCCCCGCGTACGTACGCATGACGTCATCTACATACGCAAAAACTGCTGACGTTTTTTGGTGGGAAATTTACCCCCATATGGGGGGTATAATACTACTCATGCATAGTTTAAAAATGCAAGTACTGTCCGCGTTTACTACATGACGGCACGAATGTATTTTTGAACCGATTAGTGCTAATAAACGGCAATTCGTAGGCTCGATTGTGTCTTAAGTTGTGATGTGGTATATTTGTTTTTGGTAAAAGGTGGTGTAACTTATGATTGCTATCAGTCAACGTTGATCGAAAGAGTGAATCACACAAGTTTTGGCGACGAGTGGACAGCGTTTCAAGATTTGACAGTTGTAACCTTTCTTCATACGTGATTCCTGGAAAAATGAAGGATAATGCGCGTTTCTGAACTCGTTCTAAGTTCTCCTGAAGATACTCGGGCAGGGCGTAATGGAATACCTGTGCCCCATATTCCAGTACAGGTCGGATGCAGGCACAA